AAAGGAAAAAAAAAAAGGAGGAGGAATGGCAATAGATTTTAGCTCAGAGCGCGTCTTCCTCAGCAAAAAGAGGAGGATTAGCACGGATGTTAGCTCAGGGCTGATCTCCCTCACCAAAAAAAAAAAAAAAAAGAAAGAAATATTTATAATACTTGGATTATGTTTGATAATTGTATTAACTGCATTTTCCTATACTTAAGTTGTTTCAATGCTTTTGCCAGTCCTTTTATATTAAGATGGCCTGTTATTTTGATTTTTGATTTTAATGAATTTCTCATTAATGGTAGTATATTTTTGAGTAATTGTTTACTGAATAGTTAGTAAATATTAATGAGGACTTTCCCAGGTGATAATTTTTCTTTAGGTACCATGACACATGAACCACAAAATAGCTTGGCATTTAATTCTTGGAAATAATCTTTTTTCATTGAAATTCTATAGACTTACTGAGATTTCACATTGTGGAACAAATTCTGAGAAAAGGTCAAAATTCTTCTTCTTCTTCTTCTGCTTTTTACTTCTTCCCATTCTTATATTATCCATTAAAATTTTTTTTTGAAATAATTTTAGGCTCACAAGAAGGTGGGAAAATAGTACAGAGAGTTCTTATGTATCCTTCACCCAGCTCTTGCAATGATAACACCTTATATAACTATAGTACATTATCAAACCCGGGAAACTGACACTGGTACAATCCACATAGATTATTTACTTATAGGCTTTCATCCCTTGAAATTATGGCTTTAATTCCAGCTTTATTAATTTAACTATAAATTAAATAAATAAATATAATTTATTATCAAATAAAAAAGAATTATTGTAGTTTTGTAAGTTCATTTGTCCCTTTTCTTTTTGTACTCAAAAATTAACTTTTTATGCATATAAGTCTCACCTCCTCGACTAGATTATCAGTCCTCTAGTGCAAGGAACATGCTTGTGTGTGTCTTTCACAGTGGATAATGTCTTGTTTGATGACAGGGTGGGCTATACTTCTCTAATATTTCATGAAGAAATTACAGTGTTTGATGATTGTGTCAAGTTGCTGAGAGTAGTAACTACTGTGTAAAGTTGGTTTCATGTTGGTGGTTTCTGGCTCTGGTCAAATATTGTTGAGGAGGGAAGTCTTTGATACAAAATGGAAATCTTTGGGAAGCGCATTAGGTAAATTTGACTTGACTACAAATGATGAGGAGTCTGATAGTGCAGTGTGGGGAGCTGCTTGGCTGTCTGAATTGCTCCCACCACGTTTAATGTTTGTAAGCATCTCACCCTCTATCCCAGGTAGTCTTCTCCAGTGCCTTTTGAGAACAACTCCCCTAAACAGTGAATGTGTACCTGCCACCAAATTTGAATGGATATAAGGCAGATTTTCACCATTGTCAACACCCAATGGAAACTCCCCAGAAGGGCAATAAATAGGGTAAGCTTAGTCTGGGATTGCCAATCAACCCATAAGCATGTTGCCTGGAGTGACCAGGAATTTAGAAAAGTATCTAAAAGAAGGTATAGTCAAGGATATTCTCTCCTGCATGCCTAAGAGAGGCACATTACAAAATGTTAACACTCTATGGTAAAATTGAGGGTGGTCCTGTGGCAACGGCACTGGACTAAAAGTCAGGAGACTTAGGCATCTTCCAACTTTCCCATTAATGATTCATATGGTTTTAGGACAGTCACACAGCTTCTCTGAGTGAGCTATACAAAATATGAAATGGAGACGGGGTGTTAAAATTGGCACAGTGTTTTTCAAAGTGGGTCTGAATATTGCCTACATCAGAATTCACATAGTGTGTTAAGATGCTGATTCTTGGGCCTCACGCCTTACCCACTCAATCAGGACCTATGAGGTAAGAGCTGGGAATCTTCACTTTGAACGAGGGCCCCAGGTGATTTTTATGTACACTAAAGTGTAGGAACAACTAGATTAGTTCACATGTAAGGCTCATTCTAGATTCAGAATGCTATAATTCCAATAAACGTTTACTAAGTGCTACAGATGTTACTTAAAGGCACAGTTTCATCTTTATGCTAGTGAGAATTAGTTTGACCCATACATTTTGTCTTTTCAAATAACATCTTTGGGATTTTAGGGAGCACAGAAATATTGGGAGTCCACTCAGACAGAGTCCCACAATATGGTGTCATTACGGATTCACCATGGTCTAGGTCTTTTCCTAATTATTGTACAACCAGAAATTCTATCCTGTCTTGTCTTCGCCTTAGAATTTAAATTCTGGAAAAACCAGCTTCTCTAGAGACCAGGTTTCTCATGTCTCCAAAATAAATTTCTCTCCCTTGAACAATCAGGATGGCCAATGACCACTTTTGTCCTTCTGAAACCCATGTGCTCCTGCACACTTCTTTGTGTCATCAAGGCCTTCTTCAGATAGATTAGAGACCACCTGTTGGGTAACAATCAAATTAGTCTTCCTGCTTTTGGCCAGAGAACTAGTCTATCTCTTGCCAATATGTATTGATTTTATTGGTCCAACTCTCAGAGTCTTTGGGTTATCTTACCACAGCACCAGAAGTCTCCTATAACAGTATTCATAGCAGATGATTCTAGAAATAAATCCTTACAGGGATTCAGGCCCTATAGATGCCAATCTAGGAGGCATCCATGGATATTTATTTTTTTGAATAACTTTTTATTTTGAAATAGTTTAATACAAGAAACTGCAAAAATAGCACAGAGTTCCCATGTACTCTTTGCCCAGCTTTTGCCAATGATAATATCTTGTACAACCCTAGTATATTGTCAAAATCAAGAAATGAACATTGGCATAATACTATCAACTCAACTACAGATGTTATTTAATCTGTTATTTCCACTATTGATGCAAATAATCCATAATCAATCTATAAATAAAAATTGGAGTGAGTTTATTATGAGTCAGTTTGAGGACTATGGCCTTGGAGAACTTTTCCACCAAGGAAGGAAACTCTCTGAAGAAGCCGGGCGTACAGAGTGGTTATATACTGTCTTGGAACAAAGAGCATACATCACACATGACAGAAACATCTCTTTTACTACTGTCACAAGATGCTTTGCTAGCACAGCAGGTCAGTGGTCAGCAGGTCGGTGGTCATGAGATGAGTTAAAGCAGGTCAGTAATTAAACCTTAGTTTCTGGGAAGAAATGCTTATCTTTAAAGGAATGCTGATATGGGGGCGGGCAACATTCCTATCTTTAAGGGCACCATTTTTGGCTTTGGGACATTGTAAATGTTTAAAGCAGATGTACAATGTATGCTCAAGAGGCCACTTTAGGCCTTTCTGGAAAAACAAGATCAGGCCAAACTAGTTTTAAACCAAATGGCTTGCTCATTTACTCATCACCACAAAGGATATTAATGAGGAATTAACAGGGGCCTCTTAGATGCTATAATACACTTTACAATATCTTTGTATTACAGTTACAAGTAAAAGGTAGTGTAGTATATTGGATAGAGCAGTTTTGGAGCCAAAAATTTGGGTTCAACTCCAGACTCTACTGATTACTCGTTAGGTAATCTTAGGCAAATTACTTGGTGTATCTGAGGTCTAGTTTCTTCATCTGTAACATGGGGATAGTGAGGCTTATTTTATAGGGTTGATGTTAGGATTAAATGAGAAGGATTAAGTGATGAAGATTAAATGAAAAGCAAGTATCCGATACTAATAGGACTTCAATAATTGGTATTTTTTATGTTAAAAATATATAGAAAATAGTACTCAGTCTTTTGTGGGTTAATTCCTCATGCACATCTGGTCTTCCTATGTAAAGTACAGAGAAGCAATGAATAGAAGTCCTTAAAAAAATTTTTTTTTGTCTTTAAATGCACCAAATTTCTAGTTATGTTACTGAAACTCCAAGAAATGTAGAGTCATAGAGTGTTCGAACTGGAAGAAGAATTAGGTAACCTGTAGTCAATCTGCCCCTTTAGGAAATTGAAGATAAGAGATGTCAGGAAAAGAGTACACTGTGGTATACTAAAAAGTAAATATTTGGTCTTTGTCCTCAGTTCCTGGCACACAGCTCCTAAAATCCTTGGAATCTCTGGAGTGATGAGAGTGTCCTTTGTATGCTAATGAATGACTGCTGGCTGGGGCCCCTAGATAGCTTCAGGATGGTGGATGGTAGCCAGGAAGACCGAGCCTTGATTAGAAGCTTGAAACTTCCAGCCCCACCCCCAACCTCCAGGAAGGAGAGAGGGGCTGGAGATTGAGTCAGTCACCAATGGCCAATGATTTGATCGATCATGCTTGTGTAATGAAACCTCTATAAAAACCCTTAAATGAAGGGGTTTGGAGAGTTTCCAGGTTGGTGAACATATGGAGGTGCTGGGAGAGTGACACACCTGGAGAGGCGTGGAAGCCCCGTCTTCTTCCCTGTTATCTCGTCCTGTGACTTCTTCCATTTGGCTGTTCCTGAGTTGTATTCTTTATAATAAACAGATAAGAGTAAGTAAAGCTCTTTCCTGAGTTCTGTGAGTTTGTTCTAGGAAATTATCAGACCTGAAGGGAGGAGGTGTGTTGTGGGAAACCCTGACTTTGTAGCCAGGTCAGACAGAAGTGTGGGTCACCTGGGGACTCAATATTTGTGACTGCAATCTGAAGTGAGGGCAGTCTTGTGGGACCGAGCCCTTCACCTGTGGAGTCTGACACTAACTCTGGGCAATTAGTGTCAGAATTGAATTGTAGGACATCCAGTTGGTGTCAGAATTGGTTGTCGTCAGGAGGAAAAAAAGCCTCTCAGTTACACAATCAACATGTGACACACCGGGACCTGAACTCAGGTCTTCTGACTCTACTACTTACCTGTATTACTTTATATATGAGAAGAACCTTGCCTCAACTCTCTTAGACAAAAAGGTACACAGCAACTGCTGTCTGGTGAACTCAAGTTGGGGAGTTGTCGTGCATGATGAGAAGGGTGGGTGGCAGGGTGAAATACAATCTTTTCCCTGATTCTCTATGTCGACACTCACCTAACATTAAACTTTCATTCTATCTGCCAGGGATTGCAAATTTTTATCCTCTACACGGTCAGAACAAAAATCTTCCAGAGTGAAGCTTCCAAAGTGTTGAAGTCACTGTCGTCACCCACTGGGAGAGTGAAGTCTATGCCATCGATGATCCCACTGAGGCTGCGTGTCAGGATGTATAACATGCTCAGGTCTTTGCCAGCCCTAAATGAGCGCTTTAGGCTGCTGGAGCCATCTCTAATCACCAAGGAAACCGTAGTCTCTGAAAGTGACCAAGAAAACCCAAGCTTCCAGACATAAAACTGTTGCCTTTGTGGTCCTCTTTTTATTCAACACGTGTGAGTCTCGCTTTTCCTATTTCCTTCCTTTATTACCCAGTCGTCCCAGAAATTCTCCCTCAACATATTTCACTCAAGGTTAAGAATCACGTAAGAACTGTTGTTTATTATCATTAGGGATAATGGATTTGGTAGTTTTTCTATTATTCAATAGATTCTTACCTGAATGAGGTGAAGAATTCCACCCAGCATTCAAGATAACTGAAGATTATCATTGCTCCTTATATCATGAAGTCCATGTGACAAACTTTGATAAAAATGTAGAACCTAAAACCAATTCTTTGACAATTTACTAAAAAGGACATGAGGAGGAAAATTTACCTTCCAGAACAAAATGAACACTGCAGGGATTTGCTTGTATCATACTTTTGATCTGTGAATATTTTAAATTTGTGTACACTTATAGTTTTATTTCCAAGTAAGAATTTTGCACCAATTTAACCTGGAAAGGGATATTTTTTTCTGTTAAAAAATTATAAAAGCATGTTCTGTGACCATAGGAATTGTCTCTATGAGAAATGAGCAGTGAGGACCTGGCTGGTTAGTAAAGGCTCTGGATATTTCTTTCCAGTTCTTGCTATATCTGCCCTTTTATTGATGAAATGACACTGAGACTCAAAAAATGAAAAGGTCATCACAATCACCCCTTGTGGCTTTTAAAAGATCTAAATGCTCATGGAATTTCAAACACTTGAATTATGAATGGCTTCCTAAATAAAAAATGACCTCCACTGGGGTGGGGAGCACCCCCCTGGACTGGGGAGGCAGAGTCTCTGAATTGCTGTGTCTGTTTTGCTGTGAACCAGGCAGCTCCCGTGAGTGCACTGAACTAAGGGACTCACAAACGCGAGCTGTGGCAAACCCTCCTCACCGCGTCCTAAAGAACATGTGTTTGTTTGAAGAAAGCTTGTAAATGACTGTTGGATTCCTAGGCAAGCTGGGAGCCGATTTCATCTGCAGTATAATTGAGACCTTACAGGATAATGGAAAAAAGTACAGGGAAGATCAAAAGAAAAGCAGATCTCAGAGGTGAGTGTCTCCGTGGTGTCGTAGTGCTGTCCCTGGATAGGGGCTGGACACCGGAAGAATTACAACATGTGGTTGCCCTACTCTATGTCCTGAAATTTATATTCAGGTGAAAATAAACCTTAAGTAAAGGCCACTTTAAATGTGAGAAAAAAAGTCATCCAAGAGCCACATTTAGCCTGAGGGTGAAGTATATGTATCCCTTGGTAATTTTAATTTTCTTTGCACTTTTTTCAGCACACTTGGGGGTATAGCAAGTAAGATTCCACATAATGTTCCTGGAATGGCTGTACCATCAATGTGCAGCCTCCACGTGCGTGGTGTGGAGGCCAGGTCAGGTGACACTGACGCTCCCCTACCTACCGTGAAATCCTGCCACTTGGAAAGAATCCTATTGATTTAAGCCTTTACCTCCTGCACTGGTCAGGAATCTGTTAGTTTAGTGATAGAGACCCAACTCAAATTAGGTCAAAGATTGAAGAGAATTTAGTGGCTTCATTAATTCTACAGTCCAAAGGCCAGGTGGTTTTAGGCAGGGTGACTGTATGTTCTAGTAGCCTAGGCCAGTCATAATTTGTGCTGCTGTCCTGACTTCAGTATTACTAGCAGCCTCTTTTACTCTCAAAAGTGTCCTGATTTGGGACACAAAATATATGATAATGCTAACTTTAGGTCTAGAATTCAGGTCTAGTTCAAAGAATGTGTCAAGATTCTTTTTCTCTCCCTGTTTCCTGGCTCCTTGTGCTTCTGTGTTGGCTTCATTCTCAAATCGGGTTTACATGGCTGGAAACTGGCCACTGGCTTCCCCTTCCTCCTGCCCTGCAACCTCCTGTCAGCGTCTGCCATTGGCTGCAGCCAGTCGGAGACAGTTGAGCAGGAACCTGGGGGGCTCAGTCCCCTGTGATACCTAGCAGAGCAGCGGCAGGGAGGACCAAAGGGCTGGCACACTCTGCTTGGTCATGTGCCCACAAGCACTGTGTTCAGAGAATATTGGTCCAGCCCGGATCACATACTTACTGTGAGGTGGAGGGATGGGGGCGACCTAGTGGACAGGATGTCCTGGACAATTACACTAAGGATGGGAAGCTGGCAGCAAAATGTTAAGGTGCTTCCACATCTCCTGACAAAATACAAGTACCGCCCAGGGAAGAGAACCACTTTAAGGCCTATCCATCCTTTTCCCTTATTCTGAATGAGCCTGTTAGATCCTTGTCTGCGTGGGGTTTGAATGGGCTGGGTAAGGAGAGAAGAAATTATTTGGTGCCTTGGAAGTTGAGGAGCAAGGATGGGGACTATAGGAGCAGAAGGATGACTGACTTAAAAAGAAAATTGCGGAAAAGGGAGACTCAGAGCACTGCAGAGCTGGGTTTCCTGATGTGATGTGGGGCCGGCTTTCTGCGCTTCTGATTTATTTTGTGTGCTCACAGTGTCCTACAGCCCTGTTGGCTGCGGCAGCACATGTAGCTTCTTTGGGGAATTAGATTTTCTTTCCTGGGTCTTAACTGACAGTCCAGAGTCTGGACTGCTTTTTCTTGTACCCTTCCCATTTTGAAGTTTATCTTGCCTCTTTTTTTCTGTTACCAACAAAGGGAGCTCATTCTCAAGCTCACTGCTCTCAGTTTGTCTTTGCCTCATTCCGAAGAGCTTGGCATTCTTTGCAAATATTTGGGAAACCTGGGCCAAGAGTGCTGACTGAGTCATCCCAGCCTGTCCACTCCTGGAGCTCTCTGGCTCTGTGGACGCCCCTTAATGGGACCCTGGGACCTGCAGCACCTGGCTCCCCAGGTGAGGTCCAAGACAGAGCCACGGGGTTAGGTCCACCCCAGGGACAAGGGTGGGGAGGGGGAAAGGAGCCTAGGAGGAAATGGCTTCCTTTTCCTATTGACAGTTTTAAAACACTGTGCTAATCATGTTATGACAATTTTAGAAGATATTCATAAAGTATTTTAAAAAAAAGCAAAATCCATAATTCCCTAACCTATCAATAATGTCTGTTTTTCCATGTTGCCTTATGCTCTTTGTTTGAACACATTTAAATAACTGTATAGTAAATGAAATTTTATTGTGATTTTCACTTACAATTACCCAGGTATGCAGTCCTTATGATAATTAAAGATTGCATAACATAGCATAAGTTGCTAAGCTGTTCTGTTATTGGATATCTAGATCATTTCAATTTTTTTGTGTGTGTGTGAGGAAGATGAGCCATGAGCTAACATCCGATGCCAATCCTCCTCTTTTTGCTGAGGAAGATTGGCCCTGGGCTAACATCTGTGCCCATCTTCCTCTGCTTTATATGGGACGCTGCCACAGCATGGCTTGACAAGGGGTGCGTAGGTCTGCGCCTGGGATCCGAACCTGCGAACCCCGGGCCGCCGAAGTGGAACACGCGAACTTAACCACTACGCCACTGGGCCAGCCCCTCATTTCAATTTTTAATATTGTAGTGACACATGATAAATAAATTGGTATATATATTTTTTCCTTTCTTTTTAATTATTTCCTTAAGATAAATTCTCAGGATTAGGATAAGTGTGTCAAAAGGTATGGACATTTGTTTAGGTTCCTTTATATATTACTATATTGCTTTGAAAACGTTGCAATAATTTATAATGTCACCAACATTACACCATAAACATTTTTTATATACTTGTTTACTTTGGTATTTTATTTTTTAGTTATTTATATGTGTTGTCCATTTATCAATTGAGCTACTGTTATTTTTTCTCATAAATTTGTATGCATTCCTTTCTATTATGGTTATCAGCCCTTTAATTATTGCACTTGGTGAAAATATTTTCCCCTAGTTTATTTTTTTCCTCTCTTTAATATAATGAATTGCTCACTCTGCATTTGAATCAAAAGATCCAAAAGATTTATAGAGCATTTAGCATTTTTTTGAGTTGATATACCCTTATTCAGGCACAGTGTTTTTCATTTTGTGTTAAGGAATATGTTAGGGACCATGTAGAAACTTCTAAAATGAAGGACACGGGCATAAATATGCCAAGTGAGGCCAAATAAATCATGTATGACAGACACAGGACGTCTCTAACCCTGCATTATATAGCACAGCAGTTGGGTGGGGTTCCATGACAAAGTTATTTTTTCCTCTCAAATATGTTTTCTGTCTCTTTGAGTTCATCCACCTTTTCTTAAAAATAAAACACTAAATCTTGGAGAAGAGAGGAGAAGTTTTATTAGTAATTATTTATTAACACACACACAAAACTCAGAGATTCACAGTAGTGTTACATATGCATCATCTATATTCATTTACATATAGGTAACCTATTAAAATGTGTATTTGAAAAAAATACATAAAAGTTGCTGAAAAACTGATTAAGTGAGGAAATCAGGAGGAAGGGAAAATAATCATAGGAGCAAAAAGTAAGAAGCCAGGGATGAGATTAGTACCCAAGAAACGTGTTGTATGGTCTTGTATTTTTGCTAGAAGCAGACCACAGATTAGACCATGAGCTTCCTGGTACCCAACATAAATAGGGAAACATGAGGATACAAGTCACACATCTCTTAACAATTAAACAAACAAACAAATAAACATTTCTTGGGAAAAACACATTATTCCAACACTAGTTGAAATTGGCTTTGATAGTTTTCTTGAAAATTTCCTCCCGGTATATTACCAAATGAGGAGGCGAACTATTTTGAATGAATAGAAAGGCTATGTCATTTGGAAACACAGCCTGTTCACATCCATGCCTGCCAGTCTGCTGAGTGCACACACTGAACAGTCACGCGTAATGTTCGGTGTGATTGCAAAGTTATACCGTACTGTGTATGAACAAAGACACACACTTAATGCACCACAGGAAACTTCAGGGTCACAAGTGGGTCACTGAAGAGTGTTTTTTTAAAAATGTTAAAGCGGTTTTCCTTAATTTTGGCTATTGGTGTTACTTTTCTGTTTTGTTT